GAACACAAGGAATTAATGAGTCAGCACCTTCCTAAGCTGTGCTGGGAAATCAGGGTGAAAACTCAGGGCTCTCCAGACTGGTCCATCATGGATTTTGTGTCCATCTGATCACTTCATTTCTGACTGAAGACTGAACACAGCAGAATGTGTCCTTTAGACAGTGAAATTGTGGGAATAAATGAGATGAAAGAGGAAGGGAATGATTTCCTTTCCACTTCCAGGATGAGTAAACCCTCAATACTGGGTTTAAATGAAAGTACTGGATGAATAAACTGACAGGTGAATAAACTGATTCCCTTGGGATAAAGCCTGTCCCAAAGATGGAAAAAAGCTGGTTGGTGGTTTTACATGGGAAAATAAGGCTAGGTTCCTGTGAAATTGAGATTGTGATTCCAATTCATTGTGTGGGAACACAAGGAATTAATGAGTCAGCACCTTCCTAAGCTGTGCTGATAAATCAGGGTGGGAACTCAGGGCTCTCCAGACTGGTCCCATCATGGATTTTGTGTCCATCTGATCACTTCATTCCTGGCTGAAGACTGAACTCAGCAGAATGTGTCCTTCAGACAGTGAAATTGTGGGAATAAATCAGAGCAGTGCTCTCCAAAGCCCAGCAGCTGCTGTCAGGCTGAGGGCAGGGCTTGGCTGTGCTGGGGCAGGATCTGGGAAACTCCAGTGGGGGAAATTTGGAAACTTTTTGTGCCAAATAATCACCAGTTGTTTAAGTGAAGTGTTTCCATTGCATGTCATCCTTGTCTCTCCCCAGCCATGTCAGAGATGAAAGAGGAAGGGAATGATTTCCTTTCCACTTCCAGGATGAGTAAACCTGCAATACTGGGTTTAAATTAAGGTACTGGATTTAACTGGGCTAGGATTAGGAGGGATTCTCTAACAGGATGGAAAATATTGGAATGAAGATCTCCATCTCCAAAGATCTTCCATAACCAATGTTTTTTGGGATCAAGGCTGCTACCATTCAGTCAAGAGGATGAACTTGATGACTGATAGCAGATTCACAATTTTGTGATTCCATGCGATGATTTTCCTTTATTTGTATTTTATATATTTAATAGTATGATGAGATAACAAATATTCTTCTGGGAAACCTAAATGCTGACCCTTCAATCAATTTTATCCACATCCGGTATTTATAACTACAATTTGCAACAGGATTCTGTCATTAATTAAAAGTGCTTACTAGGTTTTAGCACAGACTTCAGAGCACAAGTCATGTCCACACTGAGAAGAGAATTGGCTCCAAAATGTTGGTGTTTACCAGTTTCCTTAGGAAAGGACAATGTAATGGGGAAAATGTCACAGCAATTCATCTTAAAAAGAAATTCCCTCTGTCAGAAACCTCTCAGGAGTTTCAAACTCAGCTAGGGGATGTCAGAAAGCAATTAAAGTCTAATTTAAAATCCCCACCCACATTCTGTCTTCTCTTCCTGCCAAGTGGTTATTGCTCCTGGTCCATGGTACTGGCAGATCTTTCCAAAATGAGCCATAATTTGCCTTAAAACTTAAAACTTTTCTGGTCAAGATGGAACTTTTCTCTTTGAAGAATGAGATTGCAGTGACTCTGTGGAAAAAAAAAAAAAAAAGTCCAAATGCTCTGATTTCCCAAGGACATCCTTGGGGTTGAATTTTCACCCAGAAATTCTTCTTGGACAAGGACATTGGGGGTGGATTTTGAGGCTGAGGCACTTTCCAGGGAAGGTTCCTGGACACTGCAGCTTCCTGGGGTGGATCCCAGCGTGTTCTCCCTTTGTTTTCCACTTTCATTGATGGCTCCACATCGCTGGCTGGGTTAATAGAGAATAAAAGCGTGGCCGTGGCAGATTAAACAAATGAGCCATTAAAAGAGGATGATGGCTCCCTCCCTCTCTGTGCCCACAACGCCTTGGAGCAAAGCAAAACACCACGAGAGCAGGGATGAAAAAGCTTTCAGGGATGGGCTGGGAATGTGGGCACTGAGAGACAGCCTCTGGCTCCTTCAGGGAGGAATCCTAAGGTCATTCACTAATGGCTTTCCATGGTCTTTCCTGACAGGTGCTGAAGGAGGAAGGCTTTGGCCCCATCACCACAGAGATCCGGGAGGCTCCTGAGTTTTATTATGCCGAGGAATATCACCAGCAGTACCTCAGCAAGAACCCTGGAGGGTACTGTGGCCTGGGAGGGACGGGGGTCTCCTGCCCCATGGGCATCAGGAAATAGCCTGGGCTTGCTCCACCACCTCCTCTTCATGGTAGGGAGCTTGGGGAAAAAATAAAAAGACCAGGAACCCTGGTGGATGTTCCTGCAGCATCCATGGATAAAGATTTGGGAATCTGCTGGGGAGGCTTTCCATAATTATCAGTTTTCAAAAGCCAAAGTAGAGGCAGGAATTGCTCCCTTTCTTGCTCTGTGCAGCTCCCGGGGTTTCCTTGTCATCTGGAAAGGTGGAAAGAGATCCAAACTTCTGAAGTTTGGCTTGAAATGCTGTTAAAAGGGTGAATTAGGAGGTGGTTGCACCCGTAGCTGCTTTGCATTTCCAATGCCTTTGGACTTTTTTATTTTTTTTGGGTTAATTAATTTCCTGGTGTTCTCAGAGCTTTGACTTCTGGAGATGTGGTTGGGTTCCTTACCTGTCACAACCCTGGGATTTGATGTCTTTGGGAATGAGGAATTGATCAGATCAGTGATTCTCCCACCACAACTCCACTCTCCACTCCACAGCATTTAGTACCACCTGTAGTGCCTATTTTCTGAAATTATTTTAGCCATAAAAAATAAAATTGTCATGTGATGCTTCTTTTTGACAGTTCCAAGAAGTGAATAAACACAAAAAGAAATCAGTTTTGTTTCCTGCTCTGCAATAAATGACAGAACAAGAAAAGAACAATGTTGTCTGTGATGTGTTCCAAGTGGATATCTGGGTAGATCTAAAACAAAATTATCAAATATTATAAAATGCTGCAGCTTTCTAATTAAACACCAGGGCATTTAAATCTGTATCATCAGTCATGACAGTACAGAGGAGTGGAATTACCCCTATGATTAATTATTTGTTCTTTAATAGCTTGGGGAGCCCCCACCAAGAGCAGACTCATGGAAAAGGTAACTTGGGGCAGTCTCCAGGGAGTGTGCAGTCAAAAGAGCAGGTCAGCCAGAAAGGGGGAAAAAAATCAATTTTTGGATTTATTCATGGAGATCTCAGAGTGCAGACTCAAAAGTGCAGACAAAGGATGCAGGGATGCACAGTTTATCCCATATGGAAATGGGATCCTGTGGGCCCAGGGCTCAAGGAGTGACCCAGTTTTGGGGGACAGATGGTGGGACTCATAGAGACAAATCCACAGCACCTCCTTCTCCATGGCACTGCTCTCCATAGCTTGGTTTGATGTTTCCTGCTCACCAGCTCAGCTTTAAAGCTCAAAAAGTCCCAAACCAGCTCCCTGAACATCTCCTGTACCTACACAGCAGAGCAGATCGTGCTCCAAGCTTGGAGAAGCTGAAAATGCTCCCCACAAAGTCAGTGTTTGGGGTTGTAAATCCAGTGCTGCATCCCTGCCCACTGTTTCCAAACATGGGGAGTAAATCCGTGCCAGAAAAATCATCTCCCCATCTTCCCTCGTGCTCCTCAGCTGATGCTGAGCTCATCCCAGCCTCAAAACCCAGAGGAAATCTGTCCCCTTGGCAGACTGCACCTGGGCCAGGCTTACAGGAGCTGCCTCAGGCAGGATTGCCCCATTAGGCTCTTCCTGGAGATGCCCCAAAATGTGCCCACAGCACACTCAGAATTTTGGTTTCTGTTGTAAGTGATCCTGTCCCTAACCTGTCCTGCCATGGAGTTTTCTCAGTGCTCACTGATAAGTAAACCAGCACTTGTGTCTTATTTCCTTGGCATGAAGTGACAGAGAAGCAAAGAGAGTGAAATAAAGTTTTACCCTCATCCTGTGCATTGTCAGCCCCTGTGAAATCCAGACTCCAGTGGGATAATTCCTGATGTGCTCCAAGGCAAAGCATTTCAGGTGCTGAATCATCTGGGGGCTCATGAAATGTCTCCTGGTTCCCTTCCCTTCCTCTCTCCTCTCCCACTCCATACTATAATTATTGATTTGAAACAAGCTGGAAAGTCTTTGGGAAAAAGTCTTATTATAGATATCCTCAAGTCTGAGCCTGGCTAAGGATTTTTTAAAGTCCTGTCCTGATGGAAATGATGCCTTGGTCTAAAAATCAGCATAAGGGCTCCATTGATGCTACAGTTGGCCCACACCAAAATATTTTGGCACCACAGAATTATTTACTGGCATCTTTGATTTGATTTTGATTTGAGAGTTTTGATTGGGCACTCTTTGAAAATTGTACTTTGACAGACGTGCCCCTTTTTCCTGCAAACGCAGAATCCCAGGGTAATTTGGGTGGGAAGGGACATTAAAGGTCATCCATTCCCACCTCCTGCCATGGGCAGGGACACTTTCCACTATCCCAGTTTGCTCCAAGCTCTGTCCAGCCTGGCCTGGAACATTTCCAGGGATGGAGCAACTCTCCTGTTTCAGTACATTCAAGTCAATACCCCAGGCATGGTCTAAATGGAGAGAAAATTACCCAAAAATGAGAAAATTAATATAATGATAGGCTTTGGAGATGAAGTTGAAAGCTGACAGAGGACCAGCTCCTGAGGTCTTCAAAGATGCTTCAAGATCCAGCTCATGAAACCCTCCATTGCCATATCCTGTGAGGTTAGCCTGGGATACAGACAGGAATTCCTCTTTTCCCTGTCCCTGTGAGAGCCAGAGGAAGCCACAAACCTTTTGGAAATCCCTGAGCTCGCCCTCAGTGACCCTTTTGCCTCGGGAAGGAGAATCCAAGCGTGGCACGCCCAGGAAGGAGCGGGTGCTGTGATGCTGTGATGTCACCTGGGTTGTGTTGACATGGAATGCAGGCCGTGTCCTGAGGCACCTGCAGGGGCATCACTGCTCTGAGAGCTCTGGGACAGTGTTGGACCAGGCTGGATTGAGATGCTGCTCCTCACCCTCTCCTGTTTAGCTTCCCTGACCAGCAGTGTCCAGGCAGGTTTTGTTTCTCAGCATTCTCAGCGCAGAAGAGCTGCAGAATATTTAAATGTGGGTAAGTGAAATGGGTCTGGGCTCATTCCTTCTGCTGAGGGAATAAAGGTGTGGCCTGTGCTGCACCTTCTACCCCTAAACAAGGATTTTATCCCACCTGCCCATGGTCAGTGGTCCCTCCCACCCCAAATTCCTCGGCAATGTTTGGCAGAGTTTAGGTTTGGGGAGGTGACCGGGATGTCACTTTGGGCGGGATCAAATTACAGATCCAGGGAGGGCATTCTCACCCTTTACTCTGCTGACGCCCCACCTGCAGAGCAGCCTCCAGCCCTGGGGCCAACAGCAGAAGGGCATGGAGCTGCTGGAGAGAGTCCAGAGGAGGCCACAGAGATGCTCCAAGGGCTGGAGCCCCTCTGCCCTGGAGCCAGGCTGGGAGAGCTGGGGATGCTCACCTGGAGAGGAGAAGGATCCAGGGAGAGCTCAGAGCCCCTTCCAGTGGCTAAAGGGGCTCCAGGAGAGCTGGAGGGGGACTGGGGACAAGGCATGGAGGGACAGGACACAGGGAATGGCTTCCCAGTACCAGAGGGCAGGGATGGATGGGATATTGGGAAGGAATTCCTGGCTGTGAGGGTGATGAGGCCCTGGCACAGGGTGCCCAGAGAAGCTGTGGCTGCTCCATCCCTGGAAGTGTCCAAGGCCAGGCTGGATGAGGCTTGGAGCAACCTTATCTGGTGGAAGTTGGAGTTGGAATGGAGTTGGAAAAAATATTTTGAAATCCCTTCCAACCCCACCCATTCTGTGATTCCCTGTTTCTCTGATTCCATGGATATTTCTATTTCAGTGCTCAGGGGTGTCCTACCCCTGTCCAGCACAGGTTGTGACACTGCTGAATGTGTCCAAAATGTCACTTTTTGTACCCAGGCTGTGGCCTCCGACCATCCTACGAGTCCTTCCAGAGCACTGGCAAGAGGATTGGGACAGGGACAGACGTCATCCCCGGGGAATTCCCGTGGCTCGTGAGCATCCAGAGCCACGGGAAGCACATCTGTGGAGGCGCCATCATCAGTGCCCTGTGGATTCTAACTGCAGCACACTGCTTTGCAGATAAGCTGTGAGTGCTCCAGGGATGGGAGGGCAGCCCAGGCATGGGGAGGGGGATGAAATTCCTCCTGGTGGGTGCAGGATGTGCATCTCCTCCTGTGCCACCATTGGTGTGACTGAGCCCTAAAAACAGGGGTTGTCTCCTCTGGGAGACGACAAGCCCATATTTGAACACAGGAATGTGCAGGAATCTGCATAACCATTCCCAATGCCTTTGGACTTTTTGATTTTCTAGGGTTAATAAATTTCCTGGTGTTCCCAGAGCTTTTACTTCTGGAGATGTGGTTGGCTTCAAGCAGAAGGGGAATACTTTGAGGGATGTGGTTGGGTTCATCCCTCAATACTTTGAGGAGTGGCCTGAGCAGCCTTGGATAAATGCCCCTGATGCTATTCTGATGGCCCCAAGCATTTCTTGTGCATCCACACCTGTACCAGCATCTTGTAAAAGGTGATGTATTCCATTCTAGCTCATTGTATCCCCCAAACTACCTTTGCTTTCACACACCAAATACCTTCACTTCATGGAGATTTTGAGTTTAAAACAGCGAGTTCTGGGTAAATCAACTCCATGCAGTGTCCAGCCCTCTGTGAGTCCCCTCCAAAATGTGGCAGCTGAGAATTGCTTGGTGACAAATGACCCATGGCAGCATGGCCTGGAGCAGCTGGCTGGGGACAGCAGGGTCTGAGCAGCCAGCCCAGGGCACAGAGATCCAAAAGATCCAGACCATTCCATCTGTTTGGTACAGACTGGGTTATTTATAACCTTCATTCGCGTTCTACCTCTGCATTCCTCTGCCCTGGAAACCATCCTTTCCTAGGAATTAGGTAAATTCCTTGGATATTTACAGCTAAGCTGCCTAAGCCACCATCATGCCCTGCTCTGGGGAGGAGCCACCAACCTTCACAACACAAATCCTTCATGTTCCCCATGCCCTGTTTTGTTTTTAAGGCCACCAGACCTGATGGTGGCAGTGGGGGGAGTGAACCTCAGCCTCCCTCTGGAAGAGTGCAACCCAGACAGCCTCATCCTGCACGAGGAGTTCAACAGGACCAGCCTGCAGAACGACATTGCCCTGATCCTGCTCAGCAACCCCATCGAGTTCAGCACTGAGAAGATTCCCGTCTGCCTGCCCTTCGTGTATGACAGGGACAAGTGGCAGCACTGCTGGGCTTCTGGCTGGGAGAACACCAGTGCAGGTGAGGCACTGAGGGAGATGCATTTGCTGATGGAAGATGGGGTTTGTGGCCGTCCTCTCCCTTGAGGGGTTTCCCAGACAAAGTTTCATTCCCCACTTTTTTCTATCTTGACTTTTTTTTTTTTTGTCAAATAATTAAACCATATATCCCTACATTATCCAAATCACCCAATAGACTTTCAATTAACCTTCCTCTATATTTCCTAATATCAAAAACAACAATCAACCATCATCATCACTCTACAACCACCCCCAAACAGACATAGAATTAACCTCAGAACTTCCCCCCTCCAAATAAACCAAACAAAAATACAAATCATGATGATAAATCATCGACCAATCGCTCACCAAATTTTACGTTCTTGTAGCTTATAGAAAGCATGACACTGAAGATGTCAAGATGGTTTATGCATCCAAACCCCCCTGGGCTCTGCACATCCACTAGTTCCCTGTTCAGGGCAAGAAAAAGTCACCAACAACCCCCAGAGCAAAATCTGGGACCTATTTTGGCACCACATCCAAATTTTGGACCTCATTTTGGCACCACATCCAAATTTTGGACCTCATTTTGGCACCACATCCAAACTTTGGACCTCATTTTGGCACCACATCCGAATTTTGGACCTCATTTTGGCAGCCAGATTAAGACAAGCTCCACCCTGGTGGGTAAATTAGCACAGAATAATGGGATTATTAGGGCTGGAAGGGACCTTAAAGCTCATCTCATTCCAACTCCCTGCCAGGGGCAGGGACATCTTCCACTATCCCAGGTTGCTCCAAGGCCTGTCCAACTGGGTCTTGAACACTTTTCACCTTGTAGGATCCTTGTGGGTATCTTCAGCTTGGGATATTTTATGAATTACCCAATTAGGCTGGGTCTAAAATGGTCTGGACTAAAGGAAATGAGGATTTGGGGCTGTTTTGGTTTAATGCCTCTGTGAGCTGGATTGACTTATTGGTTCTGGCCACTCCTTCCTTCACTCATTTAGGACTGCAGATTGCTGTTGCTAATTGATCTCATTTAAGCCCTAATGAAAGCAGTTCCAGCGCTGATTGTGACCCAAAATGTGTGTCCTGAACAAATGTCACTAATTAGCCAATGAGCTGATTCATTATTGGAAAGAATTAATCAGGACTGGGAGGGCAGGGGGGTGTCTTGGAGCTCGAGCGCTCCTTCCCAGGATGCAGTAAGTGAATATTCCATTGAATCCTTGCTATTTTACTTCAATTCTGGTTTTTTTTCTTCATGAAACTCTGCATTTGCATTCTTAGGCTTTATTTTCCTCCCTAAGCTGTAACACACAACACTCTCACAGTTGTGAAGCTCTCCCCCTTCACCAAGGTAATGTGTTCCTATTTTCTGTTGAGTAGTTACATAGCATTGAACTTGATCCACAGGATCATGGACTCATGGAATGGTTTAGAGTTGAAATGGACTTTTAAATCCATCCAGTGCCACCCCCTGCCATGGGCAGGGAAACTTTCCACTATCCCAGGTTTTTCCAAGCCCCATCCAGCCTGGCCTTGGACACTTCCAGGGATCCAGGGGCAGCCACAGCTTCTCTGGGCACCCTGTGCCAGGGCCTCACCACCCTCCCAGCCAAGAATTCCTTCCCAGTATCCCATCAAAATCTCCTTTTTCCAGTTTGAAGTCATTCCGTCTTGCCCTGTCCCTCCATCCCATATCCCAAAACCTTTTCCAGCTCTCCTGGAGCCCCTTTAGGCTCTGCAAAAGGATCTAAAATCTTCCCAGAGCTTTCTCTTCTCCAGGTGAACACCCTCAGCTTCTCTCCATAACAGGAGGGCTTCACCCTCCTGGAGATTCCTTCACTAAAGCATTTTCATCTTTGGGCACTTCCATCTTAGCTGGAAAAAAGACATGACAACTTTCCATCTTTTAGATCTTGTCATTGAGTCACAGTTTCCTGAAGGTTCTGGGAGGATTTGGCACAGTGAAAAATGAAACAAGGAGCGAGTTCCAAACAACCTGAAGGTCTCAGTTTTATCCTTCAGTCTCAGGTTCACTTTAGAGAGAAACATGGGTGAAATAATTGGGGTTTCTGAGTAGCCCAGCACATTTTTCAGTCTTTTTGTCACTTGCAGGTGCCATCTGTGATTTCTGCATTCCCAACCCAAGGGAAGAATAAAGCAGATATTTCCTTTGTGTCACTTTGGGAAGACACAGCTGGGTGAGGTGTGGCCTTGCAGCCCTCCCTGGGGAGAACAATGTTTAGATTGGATATTAGGGAAAAAAGTCTTCCCTGGAAGAGCTGTTGGGCATTGGAACAGCTCCCCAGGGCAGTGGGGGAGTTTCCAAACCTGGAGGAATATAAAAGCTTTGTGGATGCGGCATTTGAGGACATGGGGCAGAGGTGGCCTTGGCAGTGCTGGGGGAACGGTTGGACTGGATGATCTCAAAGGTTGTTTCCACAGTAAATCATTCCATGATTCTAAAATTCTAAGATTAGAATTCTGGGGAAAGCTCCGTGGACTTTGATCTGCAGGGCCTTGCACAGGATCCCATGAAAAGCCCCTCAGACTGAGATCCCAAAAAACCACGAGTGAGAAGCCCCAGGTGTGCAGGGCAGCTCATCTCAGGTGATCACTGAGACCACCAGCAGGAAAATCCATCCCTTTGGGGGTTTCCCAGTAGTCTGGCATCCCTGGAACTGTCCAAAGCCAGGCTGGACAGGGCTTGGAGCAACCTGGGACAGTGGAAAGTGTCCCTGCCCATGGCAGGGGGTGGGACTGGATGATGTTTAAGGTCTTTTTCCACTCAAACCATTCTGGGATTCTGTGATAAACTCATCATTGCCAACACTTGGGGATCCCCTGTGTCCCCAAAACCCTACAGTTCTTCCCAGAGACCCCCATTGCCCTGAGATGCTTTAAAAATCCAGCTGAGGTTCTTCCCAAGGGAAATCTCCAGCAGCTTTGTTGATCCTTCTCTTCTCATTTGCTGCAGCTTCCCCTGTGCTGCAGAAAACAAAGGTGAAGCTGATCAGCAGGGAGGAATGCCTGAAGCACATCCCACACCTCGTGGGGGGCGTGATGTGTGCTGAGACAGAGCAAGGAGAAGGAGAAAAAGGAGGAGGAAGAGGCTGCCAGGTAAAGGGACCATCAGCAAATCCTGATCTGCTTCACAGCCAGGTTACAGCCTGAAAGGAGACAGGAGCTCCAAGGCGAAATAACTGGGAGGGAAGTTTAATTTGGAGATGTTTAATTTAGATAAGAAACATTTCTCAGGTGAGGTCTTGGTTCTGACCCAAATGGGTTTGCTTGGTCTGTGTGTGCCAGAGTGATTCACATCTTGTGGCAGTGTGTAGTGACAGAGCTTTTCAAGCCTAAATTACAGTCCGAGCAGTGATTGATATCAGGGAGCTGACACAAGCACCCAAATGAGGCAAAACTCACTCCCAACTTGTGCCCTCACAGCACATTCCACCCCCAGGATTGCTGTCCTTGTGTCAAATGAAGCTTGGAAGCCAAAAATTCACCTTTCTTTCATGGCATCCAAATTCCAAGCCCTCTCCTGAGAGACTGACAGGGACTGGGCTCTCCTGCAGCCTCTGGTTCCAGACTGAGATTCCCCTCTTCCACTGGGAAATGTTTTTTTAGGAATCACAGAGGGGTTTGGACAGGACAGAGCTTTAAATCTCACCCGCTTCCAATGGGCAGGGACATCTTCCACTATCCCAGGTTGCTCCAAGCCTCACCCAGATGTGTTTTATACATGCCCATGGGTTTGGAGGGGTCTGGATGGGGAGACACATGGATGGACAGCTCCATCCTGTAGGAATTACTCATTGGAGGAGCTAAATCAGCACCCAGGACAGAGAGAGATCCTCTGACCTTTAGGTAAAGGCAGGGGGCACCAGGACTATGGGACACCAAGGGAAAGCTTGCTTTGCAAAAAGATTTTGTGATTAGCCAGAGAGAATCTGCCTCTGAAACCATCCAAGGAGTGGCTTTCACCTCTATTAAATTAAATCAAAAAAATCTTAAAAGAAACCTGCCACAGGACAACATTAACATGATTAAAGGATGCACTGCCCAGCCCAGCCCAGCCTGAAGTTCTGTGGGTGAATGATGCTGGTGAAATAGCAGGAGCACTTGTTCCCAGCAAAATTAATCTCCTGGACTCAGAAAGCTGAAGAAGAAGATATTTAGATCCACAATAATGTCAGAGTTGTCTGAAGAATGGAGTAGGAATGTGAGATTTCCATTTTCTCCTTTGCATGGGTGATAGAACTCAGAATTCAATGTCTCTCTGATTTTAGTGGGATCCTGACCAGGCAGGAATGCTTTGTAAACTGGAATAAAGGGAACAGGACAAAACCAGAGCTGAGGATAGGAGCTGTACTTCTCAGGGATGAAACAAGTGACAGGACTTGCCACCAGATTTTGCTGGAGGGGAAGTATTTTGTTGCTGGATGGTTTTCTGGATTTCTGAGAAATGCTCATTAAAGCCATGGGGGACACATTTTGACTTCACCAGGCTGGGTCAGCAGCCCAGTGGCTTGTCCTGGTCATGGCCTGGGACAGGACAGGGCTGAACCTGATGCTTCTTCTGCAGCAAGGACCACTGGGCAGAATCCCAGAATTATTTAGGTGTGGTGGTGTTCACAGGGGTCCCAGGATGAGGGAAGAGATGAGAATGTTGACTCCATGTTTAGAAGGCTGATTTATTATTTTATGATATATATTATATTAAAACTATACTAAAAGAATAGAAGAAAGGATTTCATCAGAAGGCTGGCTAAGAATAGAAAAAGAATGAATAACAAAGGCTTGTGACTGACTGAGACAGTCCAGACAGCTGGACTGTGATTGGCCATTAATTAGAAACAACCATATGAGACCAATCACAGATGCACCTGTTGCATTCCACAGCAGCAGATAATCAATGTTTACATTTTGTTCCTGAGGCCCTCTCAGCTTCTCAGGAGAAAAATCCAAAGGAAAGGATTTTTCATAAAACATGTCCGTGACATTTAGGTTGGAAAAGCCCTCCAGGATCACTGAGTCCATCTTGTGACCAATCCCCACCTTGTCCCCAGCCCAGAGCACTGAGTGTCACATCCAGACCTCCCTTGAAAACCTCCAGGGATGGGGACTCCAAACCTCCCTGGGACAGCCCCTCCAATGCCCAACAGCCCTTTCCATGAAGAAATTCCTCCTGATGTCCAATCTAACCCCCCCCCCCGGCACAGTTTGAGGCTGGTTTCCCTTGTCTTGGAGCAAAGCCTGACCCCCCTGGCTGTCCCCTCCTGTCAGGGAGTTGTGCAGAGCCACAAAGTCCCCCCCTGAGCCCCCTTTTCTCCAGGCTGAGCCCCTTTCCCAGCTCCCTCAGCCCCTCCTGGTGCTCCAGCCCCTTCCCCAGCTCCATTCCATTCCCTGGACACACTCCAGCCCCTCAATGTCCCTATTGGAGTGAGGGACAGAACTGGACAATGCATCTGCGCTGTGGACAGTGTAAGGATTGCCTGTAAGGATTGCAGGGTTTGTGTCAGATGAGAGCGAGGCCAAATTTCAAAATGCCCAAATCCTTCTCATCCTCATCTCTGTCGGGGAGACAGAGCAGCCCTGGGCATGGCATTGGTCTGCTCCATCCAGCTGTTTCCTGAGGGATTTCCAGGCTCCAGGAGCCACCCACGAGTCCCTGGGGAGAGGCCAGGAAGGATCAGAAGCTCCGGCAAGGCAGAGGTTCCTGGTCAGGGAACAAACCCTGGAGATGCTGAGTTGGCTCCAGTAGCTGCAGCCCAAGGAAGTCTGGACACAGAGGAGATAAAAGCCTGATATTAACCTTTCCTGGGATTTGCTGAGGATCAGGATCCATGCTTTCATGTCTGGAGCCAGGCTAAGGCAGGGGAGTTGCTGGACTCGAGGTTGTAAATCCACATGATCCACATCAGGATCCAGACCTGTGACTGTTATGGAGGGAACAACTTTTCACACAGGGAGACAGTGACAGGACCAAGGAGAATGGGTTTAAACAGAAAAAGAGATATTTGGATGGCATCTTAGGAAGGAATTCTTCCCTGTGAGGGTGGTAAGGCCCTGGCACAGGTGAAGCTGTGGCTGATCCATCCCTGGAATTGTCCAAGGCCAGGCTGGACAGGGCTTGGAGCAACCTGGGATAGTGGAAGAAATTCCTCCTGATGTCCAACCTGAACCTCCCCTGGTGCATCTTGAGGCCACCCCATGAATAGAAAAGCCAAGAATGAAAAGGATCAGACATTTCACCAGCTGCCCTCACACCAGACCAGGCTAATTTGTGGATAACTGACCATGTTCCTCCACTGACTCAAGGAGATTGAATAGCAGAGCTCCCAAGTATTTGTACTTAAAAAAATAATCCATTCCCTTAAAAAGAAAAATTTATTCTATCCCAATTCCCGGGCAGTTCTGCAGACAAATATATGGATTGGCTGGGAATTGACACTACCAGGAGCTGTAATTGACTTATAGTTCTATTTAGTCATAAACATTAACATTATTGGATGTTCAGGGGGTACAAGTGCTAAAGAACAGACACTGGAGATGGCCTATGTATTATTTTTCTGTGTGCTACATTTCTTCCATGACCCCATGAACCACAATTGATGTCTCATTCCTTGCTTTCTTAAGCATCTTTTGTTAGGCTCTGATGCAATGGTAACTTGAACAATAATTAGAGTATAAGGGGCTCACAAAGAAAATGCCTCCTTCAGTGCCTTCCCTGCCCAGGCAAAATTCAGTAAATGGCCCAATTATAGTTCAGAGGGGCTGTGGGGGGAGCTCTGATGTGGTGATTAGGACAAAGTGTGTTCAGCTGGAGTCGCAGGTCACCCACAGTTCAGCAGCACATGAAGGGGGGCCAGGCCCTGCTCTGATTCCAGGGGAAGGGATTGCTGTGTGACCCCCAGGAGCAGTGGGGTGGCTCCAGCTCAGGTGAGTCCTGGGCTGCAGGTATCCACCCCCTCCTACAGCCTGCAGCAGGGAGGGGTTTGGCCATCAATCACACAGTGGTTGGGGTTTAAAGGGCCTTTAAAAATCATCTGGTTCCAACCTCCCACTATCCCAGGTGGATCCAAGCCCTGTCCAACCTGGCCTTGGACAATTCCAGGGATCCAGGGGCAGCCACAGCTTCTCTGGGCACCCTGTGCCAGGGCCTCCACATCCTCCCAGGGAACACTTCCTTCCCAATATCCCATCTATCCCTGCTTTCTTTCACATTAAAGCCATTCCCCCTCGTCCCATGTCTGAAAATGCCCTTTACAGCCTCTGGGGTGCTCAAGGCTCTCACCCTACAGAGCTAGAGCAAAAGCAGCACTTTTTGTGCTAATCTGGATAGGGTTTTCCAGCCATTTCACAAATGTCTATTTAATAACCATCAGCATCCACAGAACCATCTTTCCATCAACAGGGAGAAAAAACCATCCCCTGGTGACGGGAGTCACTGAGATTGTTTTAAGCATCTGTGTGTGTTAAAATGACACCAAGCACTTTGTGTGTGTTTATTGCTCCCCATGAACTGAAATCCAGCTGAAGGGATTTAGCTGACAGAGGGGCACTTGGGTCCAAGGCAGGACAGTTGTTTACATTTAATTCTCTATTAGAGACCCCAGGATATCCCCTGGTATCCCACTGCTCCCACCTCAACCTTTGCTCCAGTGACTGCAATGGGAGCCTGACACTGGCACTGGAAAAGCTCTGGCATCCTCTCACAAGGTCTTGCCTCTTTTTGCTACTCCGAACATGGCCCCAAATCTGCCAAGAAAGACTCATTAAATAGAATTTTCGGAAGGAAAGAATTCTGCAAACGAAAACTGTGTTTTTATAGGCAGTTGTCATGGATTCAAGGAGAAGAGCACAAACCGGGATAGTGTGGTCAGTCCCTGAAGCTGCTCAAAACACCTGAACAGAGGTGGTTAAATTATGGTCTGGCTGCAGTTCTGTAGGGATGGGGAGCATCCACAGGAGCTCTGAGCTCCTTCTGCTGTCTTGGTTTGGAGAGACAGGAGTCTGCTAAGGAAGGCAGGAGCCTCCCCTGAAATGGAGAATGTAAACCCTCCCCACCCCTCCGAATTGCTATAAATTTTAAATTAAGGGGCTCTCAGGCAAAA